GATCTGCTGGCAATGCACCTACTTATACAGCCCAAAATGCCGTTAGCCTTCTTACTGGATCTTAAGTTCTCGCAATCGCATCAGCTGCAGTTGAGCTAGGACAATGCCCATTTTTTCATCAGTGATGGAAATAGAGCCAAAAGTGCATGTGACCAGGTCAACAGCGAAAATTGAGCTTTTAACCCAAACTGGACAGCAGATTTTCTTTTTATTATGCCACCTCATTTAAACACAAAACCTTTGTGTCTAATGTGCCACACCACTGTATCCATCTGTAAGGTCATCAACATGAAGTGCCTGCCACTTTAAATCAAAGCACAGTAAATTCAATTCAGCCTATCTCCCTGGCAGTGTTGCAAGATGTGACAAAATTGAAAATCTGAAGTCTTCATATCACACTTCAAATGTCATTCTCACAACACCAGCGACTGTACAGGAAAAAACAACAGCTGCTTCTCTTTGGATAATGTTGGTACTAACGAAAAAGAAAAAGCCTTCTCTGCATGCCGAGCTTGTGAAGGAGTGCATGATGGAAATGCTGGAGGAGCTTTCTGCCGGAGATAAAAATAAAGATGACATTGTGAACTGTGTGAAGCAAGTTTCACTGTCTGATTCCAGGGCAGTGGGAAGACTGGAGGTAATTTACGAGGACTGTTTGTTAGTACTGCTTTCCAATTTAAAAAACACCAAATACATCTCTCTTGCAGTGGACAAATCAAGCAATTTAAGTGACGCTGCCCAGCTATCGCTGTTTGTTAGATTTTATTAAAGTGAAATTTTCAAGGAAGAATTTTTGTGCTTAATACCATTAGAAACCTACACCAAAGGAGAAATCGTTTTTGAAAAGATAAAAAGCTTTTTTGAAAAAAATGGTTTAAATCTGTAGAAAGTAAACTTGCTTGTTACAGACGGAGATCCCCCCATGACACGGAAAGAGAAGGGCTTTGCTTCACATTTGGTAATGATACACTTCACTGCATCATTCATGAGATTGTCCTGTGTAGTAAGTTGTCCGGGGACTTGAAAAAAAAAAACAATGGGTACTGTGATTAGATTAGTGAACTACACACACTCAACTTCTAGCTTGCAACATCGTCTTTTTAAAGCTCTTTTACAAGATATTCCAGCCGAATACAGTGACCAGTTGCAGCACGACGACATTCGCTGGTTAAGTCGGAGGCAGGTGTTAGAGAAGTTTTGTGCCCTTCAAAAAGAAATAATAGACTTTCTTTCAAACTACAAGACCAACAAAGCTTGCGAGTTCGTGGAATTTATGAATGATGTCCCCTCTATGTCACAGGTAGCTTTTCTGTGCAAAATTACTAGTCACTTGAATTTCCTCAACTTGCAGCTCCAAGACCATGCAAGCAGTGTTGAGAATCTGTTTGAAAAAGTGTGTGCCTTTCAGAGGAATTTTGTAATCTTTTGGACAGACTTAACAGGAAAGATGTTGCATTTACCCACATAGATGAAACTTCAATGAAAATGATGCAAGAATTTCTAAAAAAATCTGATCAAAAATTTTAAAATGCAATTTGAGAATTTTAAAATTCTAAAGGGTTTGTTTTATTTGTTGTTGATCCATTTGTTGCCTCTGCCGATGGACCTTGCCCTTCTGAAGCAAAGAACGTTCTTGATTCAATTGATGAAGGTGCCTTTCAAGCTCCAGGTCAGACAACTTGAAGGCAAAATTCAGAGAAGTGGGACTTTGTGATTTTTGGACTAAATATGCTGACCAGTTTCAGAATAGCCAGAATCAAGCTATCTATCTTTTAACGATGTTCGGATCAACATACGTCTGTGAATCTGGGTTTTCTACCATGAACGTTCTAAAAAACCAACACGGTGATCGCCTCACATATGAGCATCTTCCCCTGTGCATATGCCTTTCCCTGACCTCCTACAAACTGCTCTTCACAGAGCTTGCCAGAGATCATTGATGTCACCTCTCCCATTAGAGATTACCACAAACACAGGTAATAATGTTGTTTCATAAACTCTGTTAAAAGCTAGAAACACTAATACTTATGTTGTAATCAAGGATTTATTTTTTGGCAGCTGAAGTTTTTTTTTGTTTGGGTTTTTTTGACAGCCTTCTGCGCAAATGACCTGCCTCTTGTTATACAACTCTCAAATCGGCCCACAGGTAGATCTAATTGAGCACCACTGGTTTAAAGCCACCTTTGCTTCATCCTCCATTTCTGTGATGAGCACATGAGCAAAGTGACACAGAATATGGCACCTTATAATGTATAATCTCGGTGTCAGTTTCTACTCCTATCTTTCCTTAGCCCACACTATGACTGGAGCATGTGAGAAAGGCATGCTGCTGCTGGGAAGAGCAGACAGTAAAGAGAGCACATACTGCTGCTGTGAACTAGAGGCAGAGGGAGGAGCCAGCTTCTTCCAGAAATCCCAGCAGGGTGCTGCTCAGTGGGTCAAAAGTTTTTTCCATATAGCCCATGTAACTCCAAGTGAGAAGCAGTACATGAGCTTGTCTGACGATGGCTGTGCTGTTTGTTCCTCTTTCCCTCTGGTAGACTCAGCTGTAAGAGGTCTCCCATTCGCTCCTCAAAATCATGCTTGTGTTCTCCCTGCCCTACTCAGCCAAAGGATGTTGGGTCCTCTCATCAGGCCTCCCTGAGCCAAAGCCATAGAAGAATCGGAGGAGAAATTTTGTTTGCTTATGACTGATCCAGCAAGTTCCCCTGCATGGATGCTACCTGCTTTGAGGTTTCCAATGGATTTTCTGCAGAATGACTCCAGCCCAAGCCATCACTCAGGAAGTGGAATCAGGGACTGGAAGACAGAAATGTAGCTAACTCTTAAAAATGGAGGTTTATGCTAAAAGGCCTATAAATATTTAAAGCCTATATAGGAAGGGATAAGCACCCTTTATAGAATATGGAATTGGTAGTGTTAATATACTAGCATTATGTTCACAGTTACTGATGCTAAATCCTGATCTGCGTTAATGCACAAGTTATTAGATCATTTTGCTTTTCAAAAATTTGAAACTGATTAATAGGTAAAAGTGCTACTCAGCCTATTGGCTACTCAGTACACCAAAACAACTTATGTCTGAAAGGATCCTTGAGTAATTAATCTGTATCTTTTTGTGATTTCATTATAGGGTCATTAGGGAAATATTTCAGCTTGAATGGTGTGACAAACTAGGAGTTCTAAATACTTTATATCAATATGCAAAGTGACATCAATCATTTGCAAGGCAACACACCAACTCTAAGATTAAATGAAATGATGCAAACAAAAGCACCTTAGTGAACTCTGTACAGAGAAGCCTTCTTAAGTGATCCATCTTAATGTCAGTAAATTGTTTACTAATGTGTTGACTTATGGCAACCCTCAAAAGGAAAATGAAAAGGCTAGAGTTTACAGCATATCAATGAATCAGTTGATAAGCTTTTACTGGTTTAATATCCTCCTAGTCTTGCTGCTTGGAGCCACTTCAAGTTAGCAACAGAATGTTTGCCATCACCATGTGATAAAGGAAGTCAAACGACTAAACAAACTCCAGGACCATTATACTGTTTGGTGAGATTTAAATTAAAATTGTTGGGAGAAATCATGTGGAGGGGGGAAAAGGAAACTAAAGTCAACCACACAAATTTACAAATGACTTACCTAGCTTCCCAAACAATGGTCAGGACTTTTACTTAAACTGGAGACAATGCAATGCATTTGAAAAGATTTAATTGCAGCAATAAAAGATCATACCTCAATTAAATGACTTATGCAAGCAGACTTTATAGATAAGGATCAAAGAAATTCACTACCGAACACACTGCATTCTAGGCAACACTTTGTTTTTTGTACGCACTGATGCTAAAAAGTTGTATAGCTTGGTTTCAGTGACCTTTCATATTCCCTTTGATCTAAATTAGTAAAAACTTTAATGATTAGTATAATAAGGACTACTGTATCTCCATCAGACAAATAAAATACAGTCTTCTTAACAAAGATATTTCAGGCCTACGTTCTAATTCTATGGCAATTGTTTAAGACTGCAAAACTAGACATTTGACCTTTGTGGGCTTGCCAAAGGAAGTAGGTCTATATTTTAAAAAAATCTACTTGCTAACCCCCAATCTCTTAATTGTACCACTGTTCAGTTCTGTTAGTAGCCGGGGAGTGACATTTTAAGAGCATGACGCAAGTTTATGAGAGGAGAAATGCATTTTAGAAAAGCTTTTTCCCATCTGGAAATGGATTGCTATATTACCCAAGTGTTTTATTAACAAACTGACACTAAACAAAGGTATGAAAGCTAAAAGTGGAGAAAACCAATTCTCATTTGAAAGCCACAGAGAAGAGAACTAAGAAAAATGAGTGTGCATCCCTTGATTGTGATTTATATTCTCTACACACATTCAGTCCTGGGCAATCCAAATCAGTATGTGTTATCCACATGTGTCTGAACAGAAATAAGAAAAGTTGCCACCATACTGTTCAGTGCAGGTTCATGAAGTGCCATGTGTCAAGAATCATTGCCTAAAACTGTGAGCTAGCCTTGAAAATATTTGTAATTGAAGCTGCCATTTCTGAATCTTTCAACAGCATCACGATGCTAAACAGCAACAGTGAAATTAGCAGTATAAAACCCCAGTGTTCAAGTATTACACATTTCCCATTTTGCTTTTGTAAAATGGGTTTGAAATTAAAATAAGGCTGGATATAAACTATTTTGTTTAAATATTAACCAGTGTTATGACATACATGCTTCTTGAGAGTGCTACTACCCTTGTTTCCTGTCATAATCCTGATGCCTTCCTTATTGTGTCAAGTTTCTTTAAGTGGCATTTAAAATAAAAAGGGCGATACCAAATCACCAGCAAGAACTGATTCAAAAACCAAAGCAGGAAAGAGGGAGAAGAGATAAGAAGCCAAGGAGGTGCAGTAGGTTGGCCTTTTGTAGTGGCAGGTTCAGGTAGTATCATGATCATTATACTTGCATCTGGTGTACTGATTTGTATATTGGGGAATGCATAGGAATTGTCATACTGGGTCAGACCCAAAGTCCATCTAGTTCAGTATCCAGCCTCTGACAGTAGCCAGTATTGGATGCTTCAGAGGAAGGTGTAAGAACACTGCCGTAGGCAGATGTGGAAAAAGCTGCCTTCTCCCCTGCCCCTTCCCCCACATTAGGGCTCATCCTAGTCTCTAATAATTGGGGTAAGACTCGAAGTTTGAAGTTAGTATTCCTTCCAAAATGTTTATTAATAAATGAGGACTGTGGATGTTCTTGGTCTTGTAAAGTGTCCAATACTCTTGAATCCCTACACTCTTGGCCTCGACCATAGGTGACAGTACAAACTTCTTATGGAAAAATCAATCTGCAAAGAGTTAAATCAACTCTAAACCTCTTAGCAGACATGAGAGATGGCATATTTAAGTGTTCAGCGTCCTGGGACTTAGCTTCCAAGACTGTAGCATTTTAGGGATCAGGACTGTGGGACACTTATTAGAAGGAGACAAGTTAATATTCTGGGGTATAACAGTTAATCCTTAAAGAAAATCTATCATGGTATTTACATGCTCCCCTTCCCCCCCCCCCCACCTAGTATCTGAAGAGGATAGTTTCTATCTACCAAACCTTCCATTTCTCCCAAAACTAAATTTAAATGAGACCTTAAGGTCTCTTTAAAAAGTAAAGCTAGTTCTCTTTAGTTCCATCCTGCAGGTTTTGTAACAGTTACAAAGGCCTGCAGTAAACATTCAATTGTCAGATTTTTAAGGCTGAGAAGTATTTTTGTTGCAGTAGGGCCCAAAGGCTCCAACCATGACTGATGCTCCATTATGCTAAAGGCTGAACAAAACACACAGGAAGATGTAGTCCCTGCCCCCAAAGAGCTTACACAGTAATGAGATGCAACAAGTAAGTATAACAAACTGTGTTAGGGAAAAGAAGACAGAGCAACAGTAAAACCTGGACTGCACACACACTTTTACCCATTTAGCTAAAGGTGTGAGCTTTTAAATCAGTTTAGTTAAACTGGTACAACAGTGTGTGGATGATCTTATGTTGGTTTAAACCTGACACATCAATTTAGTTTGCACCACATATGAGTGTCTACACAGGGGTTTGCACCAGTTTAACTACATTGGTTTCTGTGTGTAGTTAAGCTGTGGGGGGAGGGGGCATGAGGCAGGTTGAGGTCCTTGTTACTCAGAGGTGCTTGGCAGCTTATAGGGAATTGTGGCTTTATTGGTGGCTGTTGGGGAGGTGTCAGATGGGTATTTGTCACTGACTAATCTGGAAAGTTGGGCTGAGCTACCTGTCACTTGCGACAAGGGAAGAGGGAAAACTGGGAAGGGCTGAAAGTGGAAACTTCCCGGGCTCTTTTTAGCTGGCTACTTCCAGTGAGCCAGATTCACTCCAGTGTCCTAGCTCCCAAGACAGAGGTTAATTGCCCTATACAATATCTGGAGTTCTTAGAGATGTGTTACCCTACGGGAGCTCCTCTTGAGGTGCACATGCACCCCATGTTACTTTAATCAGAGATTTTTGGCAGCAGCGTTCACTCAGTCTGCACATGTACCTATCCTTATGCTCTGTACTGAGGGTAGATAGGATTGCAATGGATAAACTGTCCTTAATTAACTTCTTTACCACAAAGTCTCACAGAAACAACACTCCAAAGCAGGGGGCAAGGAAGGTGGGTAGTGAAGCATCCATAGGAACATACATCTTGAAAACTCCAATTACTGTACAGGATAAGTAACCTCTCTCTTCCTTCAAGGGGTGTCCCTATGGGTGCTTCACTTGAGTTGACTTCCTAGCAGTGCCTTCTGAAGGAGGTGGGAGCTTTGCAACTCGATTGAGAACTATCTGCAGAACCAAAGACAACATCTGCCTGAGAAGTGTTAACTAGGGCATAGTATCTGGAGAAAGTGTAGACTGAAGCCCATGTAGCAACTCTGCCTATTTCCACTACAAGGACATCTTTTAGCAGAGCAATGGATGTGGACTGAGACTTAATCGAATGTGCTATGATAAGTTTGCAGCTTCACAGAAGGAGAAGATACAGGTGGAAACCCATTTAGAAGGTCTCTGGGTTACACTGGTGTTCCTTTAGCTCTGTCTGCAAGAGATACAAATACTGTCATAGAAGCTTAGAAGGATCTAGTCTGTACAAATAGAATGCCAGTGCCCTCCTAACATTTAAGATATGGAAGGCAGCATCTTCCCTCATCTGATGGGGTTTAGGATGAAATACAGCGAAATGAATATTTTGATTTACACAAAAGTCTGAACTGACTTTAGGTAAGGATGCAGATGTAGTCAGAGGCACACCTTATCTTTGAAGAAAACAGTGTATGGGGATGGAGAGGTCAGCCATCAGAGCTCCTAGCTCACCAACTCTTTGAGCAGAAGTAATGGATGCTAAAAAAGGCAGTTTGCATGGAAAGGTGTAAATGTGTACAGGTAGTCACTAGTTCAAAGGGAGGTTTCATTAAAGAATTGAGACCTAGGTTCAAGTGGGCTTCCTGACCTGCGGAAAAAGGTTTGATAACCTTTTGATAAATCTAGAAGTTGCAGGGTGAGCAAACACCAAGAAACCTTCCACAGCTGAGATCATAGAATATCAGGGTTGGAAGGGACCTCAGGAGGTCATCTAGTCCAACCCCCTGCTCAAAGCAGGACCAATCCCCAATTAAATCATCCCAGCCAGAGCTTTGTCAAGCCTGACCTTAAAAACCTCTAAGGAAGGAGATTCCACCACCTCCCTAGTTAACCCATGCCAGTGCTTCACCAACCTCCTAGTGAAAAAGTTTTT